CTCAATGTCATGCACCTGTTGGGGTTAAACGAATGCATGTTTTCGTACTCTGGTAAAAGCCAGTGTTTTCCAGCATGAGCTCTTTTAATTCAGCCTCCATGCAAGCTTTACAAAATTGGTAAATACAGTTCTTCGTGTATTAATGATATTCAGATTAAAATTTAATTTAAACACTTAATTTATCGTCTTAATTTATAGTGTCAATTCGGTTTTTGTCTGCTAGGACTACATCAGATTTTACTTACCTCGCAAAACATAATAAAAAAAATCCAGTAATCCTTGCTTTATTACAATTTGATTGAATAAATGCATTTACACACATTCACTACTGCTAAATATTTGGCTAAATATAACGCTGGTAAAAAACGACTGTCGTTTTCAACCAGCGACCACTTAGGCTAACATTAGCTTATTTCATGCTAACTACTCACTTCAAATGGTCCAGGGAGTGGATATTTTTCGCTTTCCCCTGTCCTCCAACCCAGCTCCGTGACCGGCCAAACATGGTTGCGGTTTTAATGGGACTGCAATTTTGCCGGGCGCCTTGTTTTGCTAGTGTTAGTGTTCGTATCTATCCATTACACCCACTTTCCCGTTCGGCTAGCTGCTTAGCAAACAGGGGGTGATAGGCGGTGATGGTAGCCACTGCGGGGTCATTACGTAATAGCGTGGGCAAAGGGAGTTGTAGTTCTTTTCCCTACGAGAGGGTTTACAGTAGAACTGAGAAAAAACTACAACCAATGACTTCCCATGCTATCAATGATGGTTAAAGCACGCGACCATAACTGTTTTGGTGATTGACAGCTCTTAAGGCCAATCAAATGCCGACGCTTTGGTTGGTTGCTGGTTGGGACTGTTTTGATGCGGTTGGCAGAAATGTTAAGACGGGACATTATAAACTATAAATAATTCGACGTGTGTTTTGTGAATAGTTCGTCTCTTTCTGTCCGGGTGTGTAAACAACAAGTCCGCAGTAGTTTTCTTGCATTTTTTAGACCGACTCCTATGCTACTTTTTTATTTTATTTTATTTTTTAGCTCTAGCCACCAGCTGGCATGGCGTGAATTCAACAAACTCACGGAGTCAATGCCAAGAATGCGTCGAGCTAACTGGCTGTGATATTTGAATGTGTTCCTCTGGTTATAATTAGCTATGGACTTTATGTTGTTTAGCCCGCATGATTTCCTGTCGTTTTCTTCTGGACCGTACAGATAAGCTACTACATTGAGGGCTTCCTCTGAATCGTCGTTGCAGGCCAGGACGGGCCGAAATGGATGCCCCAATCCCAGCTACCCACACAGACTTCTAACGCTGACAGCAACAACTTCAGGCCACACACACACACACACACATACACAAGAACCCCTATCCGTGGCTTTCTTTATTTTCTATGACACACCAAATTTATGCCCAGCTAGATTCGGTGGAATCGCTCCTGGACGATCTCCCATATATGTTTTATTTGGGCCTGTTCTTTGTCAACGTCCTGATCCTCTATTATGCCTTCCTGATGGAGTACATCGTCCTGAATGTGGGGATAGTATTCCTGCCTGAGGATATGGACCAGGCACTGGTGGACCTCGGGGTGCTGTCCGACCCGGCCTCTGTTCCCTATGACACGGACACGGAGCTGGATGTGTTTGAGGGATATCTGGAGTGACAAGGCGGTCCTGGAAGGAAAAAACGGAATAATCAGATTTTGATAATGATGTTGCTGGGATCAAGAGGTCAGGCTGGTGCTCCCAGGTCAGCAGTTTGTTGGGAAAATGCCTCAAAGTGGATGCTTCTTAAGCTTTTTGTTCAGAGAGGCACATCAGGCAAAAAGTAAGCAAATGGCACAAGTGCAGTCAAACGTTTAAGTATTTAGACAGTCATAGTTTTGCAATTTTGATTCCATACACCAGGACACTGTGATTGAAGTACAGACTGTCAGTTTTTCTTTTGCATTAACTTTTTAGGAATTACAGCCTCTTCTTATACATAGTCACCCATTTACATAGGCTGAAAAGTAGTTCTTCAAGTGTTCATTTGGTGATGATTTCCATGGGTTCAAGACTTCTAGACAAAAGATATTTATCCAAGCAGTTCTTTCATTTAAAATTTAAAATCCAGTTACTATCGAAGCTCTGAACACGGAGGACTGCATAAAAACAGCTGTAGTTTCTAAACTGTTAAATACTTTTGTGCAATCCCTGACTTAAAGCTGAAAGTCTGCACATGATTGTTTGATTGTTAAAATCCACTGTGGTGGTGTACAGAGGCAAAGATTGTGTAGTTCTCCAAACACCAGATTGTAATAGTCAATAAGTAAGCACCATATGTTCAGCACACTTTAATAGCCAGTATATCTGTTATAAAGTCAAATTTAAAAATCAAGCTCTACCTTTTTATGATGGTAAATGTTTTTTTTGTGTCCACAGGTAGGTTGAGGATTCATCTCTTGCAGACTTATGATCCGTGACTGTTTGATGGAAAGAGCACTTTGGGAAGGCGTGTTCCCAGCAGAATATCAAGCAACCACAAGAGGTTAGCGCTGGCCTCTGCTACCCTCGCTTTGGATACAACGAAAATGGAAGCACAGCATGGTGCAGGAGAACGGAGAGAGACAGCTGTTCCCTTTGGAAGAAAAATTAATGTTGCCAGGGATGTGGATCTATCCAGGAACTGGAAGTTCACTCTAAAAGCAAAATGTGTTTGAAACTTGCCGCATCAGCCACGGTGTGATGTCCTACAATGTGACATATGGCAGTAGAACTGGTGAAGTGCAGGAAAACAATGTCCAATAAGCATGATGAATACTTAATCACTCACAGAACAACTTAAGTCACCGTTTTATCCTCTAATACAGAATCCAATTCTCTCTTAAGAACATCCTCGCGGAGATTTGGGTCCACTAACATCACCCTTACTCTCAGAAGCACAGCTAAGGATTATGGAAGCACTGGTGAAGCATAACACTGTCTCTGAACTGAGGCGGGGAAGATGTAGGACATAAAAGTGCCGTAAACTTTTTAATATTGTCACTACGCCATTCACCACAAGTCAGAGTATTAAAGTGTCGAGAAAGAGGTATTTCTTTAGTGCTGTACCCCTTTGTTTGTCAGTAATTAGGCGGAGTGGTGACCACTGTGATCACAGCTGGCCAAACCTGTCAAATGTCTGAAAAGGAGCCTCTAAAGAAAGGCTTCATTGTTTTTTTTTTTAAAAAAAAAACAACAACAACAATTTACTGAGAGACGAGATGCATTATGCTGACCGTCTTCAGAGGATTTTGAGCCAGCTGTTTAATTCCTTGTGTTCTCCTGCTTGTGCTGTCACAAATTTAGAGCTGCTTTTTATGAAGTGTATATTCTCAACAGCAATAATAAACTGGATTCAAGCAATGGATCAGTTACATAGTTATACAAATGAAATGGTTCACAGGTAACCATTTCATCCATGAGCTTGGCCAATTGTGGATGGGGAGAAAGTAAATATAAATTGTCTATATTTTGCTAGGCAGCTTTTCACCGAGATTGCTGGTGCTGGTATTTTCCCTCGTCAGCACTCAATATAGGGAGATAATAATCCACAGCCACACTGTGTAATTAACTAATAGGGAAAAAGGGAATAAAAAGTCTTGCTGTGATTCAAGAACATGGATGAAAACAAAGTAATTTAAGAATGTTTTTCAGAGAGTTGGCACCAGAGTTTAACAAAAAGCCGATCATTGATACCTGATACCAAATCGTTTTTTATGTGGGTTAAGGCCTTGGTGATATTTTGGTAGTTGTTTTTGTCAAGATGTCCATAGCTAAGTTTTTTTGGAGGGAAAACATGTGTTTGGAAACAGTATTTAGACCACAGGGCACTAAAACTCAGGATACTAATAAAATATATAGTATGAATACTGTGTGTATTCCATACGTTTATGTGGAATTTAATCAAACAAGAACAGAATCAATACGAGGTAAGGCTGTGAATAGGAGATAATATTTAAGGAAGTGTGTAATCTCGCTGTCTCATGCTGTAAACAATGTTAGCAGGCGGCTTTCTTTTCATTGACCAATGTCAGTACAACAGTGCTTCTTAGTTTTGGTATGAAAACAGTAGCATCTGAAGCTGTAACAGATTTCCTAATTTTGTACAAAAGTCAGTGGCCATGCTGTTTCCCAGGCATGCTACCCTGTTCAGGGCCACCATCATCATCATCATCTCACGGGAAACATACAACCTGTGCTTGTGTCGTCCCACCGCATCGGCTTCTTTGCAGACATGCACATGCTCAAATGAACTGTAGAGTTTTATTTTCCATTGTGTATTTAATAAACTTTGAGCGAATGCCAGCTTGTAGCCTCTTTCTTTAAACCATCAGCTTGTGTATTTCTGCAGGTGTGAGGGTTTTATTAATAATCATGTGCATCAGCGTGATGTCATATTGCTTTTTAACCACAAGAGGGAGTGAGTGCAACAGAGAACAGCAGCAGTGGCTTCAAATTGTGGGAATTCTTTGAAGTCTCCACAATTCGATGATGGAAATCCCCAACAATGCTAAGTGTTCAGATTTGTTAGAATTTGCAAAGCGTGGTGGGAGTACGCTCTGCGTGATAACTGCCAGATGACGGCCTGTTATTTGATTTGACTCCGAGAAGCGGTACTGCCAGGAACTGTAGATGGACATTTGCTTACTTTCAGGTCTATTCATAATGTGAATCCAGTATTTTCCCTTTCTATTTGTTGAGATTCAATCTCGACCCAGTTCTTTCATTACCAACAATTCATGCTTCACGTGTGAGATTAGTAATGAAGTATCTCACAAATGTAATTTTGTTTTTTATCACTTTGTCGAGTGCGCACGCAGAGACTGACGTTCTTAAAGGTCAGTTTGCATCGAAATGGAGAACAGAAACATGCAGTGAAGGAAGTGAAAAGAAGGATTTTTTTCAAAAACCCCTTTGAATTCAGTGAACACAGGGGCATCAGTGGAAAGAAAACACTATAAAAATAGTAGTAGGGTGAGTGTCAAAGCATTTTATTATTATAAAAGTAACCAACAATCAGTACTGTATAATTTATAGCCAGAAAAACACCGTTATCCTCCCCCTCTCTCTCTCTCTCACACACACACACACACACACACACACACACACACACACACACACACACACACAGCACCACAAATGCACGAATAAAGGCAGATAATGGCAAAAACTTGGACAGACAACTATAAAGAAAAAGAAAAAAAAAACAGCCACCTTTAATAACAAAGGGTGACTATAAAAGTGCAATTGTGCTTTTTTAAGTTGAAAGTACTGAAAAACAGTACACACACACACACACACACACACACACACACACACACACACTTTGTAATGCAGATAGTGGAATGTTATGAAGAACCAGCAGCAGAGAACAAGCAGCAAGTACGTCAGTTGTAGTGCAATCTCAAGTTTCACATAATAATTTGTTTGTGTCCTTTCCTTGCAAGCACACACGTTTGAAAATGTATTGTGCAATTTAAGTATACATCATGAGATGCATGATGAAAACAGTTCATATGCTTGTAGAGAGGTATTGCATTTTAGTGCAATAGGATGCGGCTGTCCTGCTGAATGAGTCTCTCAAGCACACCGAAGGGGATGCACTGGTTCCACATCCTGGGATGATGAAATGAGATGAAACAGGGTAAGAAAAAAACCTCCATAAAAAATTGGAAAAAATAAAGATGTGTGATGAAGTAACATGAAAGAGCTCCTCACCTTAAAGTCTTAACTTTTGTACAGTTTCTTAGGCTGGCTCCTAAGCTCTGTGCGCCGACATCTGTTAGTTTGTTAAACTTTACGCTGTCAAAGAAAAGTGAGACAGAAGTTAGATGTGTTTTAACAGAAAAAAAGCCTATAGCGCAAATCCAGACATCGCAATATGTTTTGTCTATAATATGAATACATGAACGCTAAAAATAAAACCAAAGCAGAAGTAGCAAAAAATGTGGAAGTGCTCTTTGCTTTTCACTTGAATTCCCAGTGAACTTCTGTTTGAAAATGCTTCATCGCAGAAATAAACATTTTTGCAACCTGGTATAAAAACAGCTTTGGGACCACCGTACAAAGACAAAGATATACCACATAAATATAAAATGCAGTTTTTAAGTGATTTATTTTTGATTTATTAGGGAAAAACTATTCATATGTCACGAGGTGGAATGGACAAGTTTAACTGAGTGTTTTTTATTTTGCATGTGTTGCTGTGTTTTATTAGTTTCAATCTTTTAATAATGTACAGTGTTTTATTCTTATGGTTTTATTGCATGTTTTTATTGTATGTATTTGTTCACTTGTCCCGGAGAGACTTGAGCCCCCTCCTGATCACTAATTGGACACACCTGGGAGGTCACAGAGGAAATAAGAGGGCCAACAAGAGGGCCTGGCAGGACAGAGACAAGGGAGTGGACGCTGGAGGAGGGCAGCAGGACGCCGCCCTATCGCTGCTCACGGTGAGACAATAGTGCAGGTGAGACACAGCAAAGCAGTGGGCAGAGTTGAGAGCTCTCCCCCTCCGGAGTAAGTCACGAGTGATACCGTGCTAGAAGAAATCCCAGTGATAGGAAAGAACAGTAACTGTCGCTGCCCCCTCTCTCTTCTGGCTAGGCTGCTAATAAATCTTTATTTTTTATTTTTTTGTGCTATTCGAAGGTGTACTTTCTAGTGTATTTCAGATCATCGTCCTACTGCAAAACCAAAGGATGCATGTACTTAGGGCCAGGAACTCCTGGTTGGACACTCTCCCTCAGGTCTATCTGGTAGAGAGCCGAATTCATGGTTCCATCAATTGCAGCAAGTCTTCCAGGTGCTGAAGCAGCAAAGTAGACCATCACACTACCACCACCATGTTATGTTCTTTTAATGAAATGCTCTGTCAGTTTTACGCAGATGTAATGGGACTCAAACCTTCCAGAAAGTTCAGCTTTTCTCTTGTCAGTCCGCAGAATATTTTCCCAAAACCTCATCAAGATGTGTTTTGGCAAACGCGAGCCAAATCCATCTGCCTTTAGTCAGAGCTCTACAATGGATGCTTTTTGTGCCCACTGTCTTCCTTTTTGATGAATTATGAACTCTGCCCTTAACTGAGGGAAGCGAGGCCTGCACTTTAGATGTCGTTCTTGTGACCTCTTGGATGAGTCACTCATGTGGTCTTGGAAAGTTTCATCACTGTTCTAAGTTTTCTAAAGCTGTGGATAAGAAGCAGAAGCAAGCAGTGGAGTCCAAGAGCCTTAGAAATGACGTTATAACCTTTTTCATATTACTTGGTTTCTAAATTGTTGCTTTATATTGTGGGATGATGTTGCTTTTTGAGATCTTTTAGCCTGCTTCACTTCATCAGACAGGTTCTTTGTAATTCAACAAGTCTGCCAGTAATCAGCCCTGAACGTGGGTAGTAAAACTGAACTCCGCTTTGTCATTTAAAAACTGCATTTTGTATTTACTCAGATTATCTCTGACTTATACCAAAATATGTTTTTGCATATTTATTTAAGTGTGATAAATATGCAAAAAACTAAGAAGTCAGGAAGGGGCAAGTAAGCTTTCACAGCATATTAAAGTGATACATTCTTAGGGGTGTGGCCACTTTGACTGACAGGTGAGCATCACCTACAAACCTGGGTCTCCTGTCTGCTGTCATCATGTCAGCTAATTCAAATGACTGAACCGCACCTCTCAGTCATGTTTGCTGTGCTGTAGTGTAACTTTTACATTACTTGGCACTAAACTCGTAACTTGTCTCACTGCAATACATCTGTACAGTCTATGGAAGCACCTTGATATCCAAGCTTGCTAGACTGACTCACTTTCATCACAAGCTAAAGACCCCCTCCTAATTTTAAGTAGTCACTGGTGCGTTACTGTGAGTGAAAACATAACTAAACAGCAAGCGAAAAAGGACCTTAAGAGTATATAAAAAATTAACTAAGTGAAACTATGTAGAAAAATAACTGTCAAACAAATGAGTTGTCTTGTGGTCAGTTCCCATCTACACCCAGTCCCTGCCTGTGTAAGTGGAATTTGTCAGTCTTTTAAACGGGAAGACCTTTGCTAAAACAGAACCTTTTACACTGAAATGTATAAGAACCTAATTCTTAGCCATCAGTTCCAAATAAAAATGTCAAGTCTTACTCAAGGTCAGTGAGGGAAGCCATGTGTGGGAGAACAGCTGCTAAACTCTCTGCCCCTTCATCAGAAATCATGTTGCTGTAGACACTGGAAAAAATAGCAAGATAAAGAGGGAAGTGAAATTATGTGGGTCAAAAGTAAGTGCCACTTTTAGGTTCCTCTGTAGGCAGATGTTACCTTAAACAGTGCAGATTAGGCAGGTCCTTCAGTGTGGCTGCTAACTTCTTCACACCCTCGTCTCCTATGCAGTTCTGTGATAGACTGGAAACCAGAAAAAACACACACAACTAAACACACATATCAAAACTAAGTTAAAAGCTAGACTGTGATGATTTTGGGGGGTGTCATGGGAGCTCAACTAATTGTGTCTTTATACCACCAATGACAAATACTCACTTAAGTATCTCCAAAGAAGGGAGTGAGACTAAAGCACTGGCCAGCTTCTCTGCTCCTTTGTCCCCGATCTTGCTGTTCTCTAAGCTAAAGGTGGTGAGAGAATCAGGCTGTCAGTTACTAGAAACATCTCATAAACACAGAGTGATGCTTTAAGCGTAATACAAATAGAAAAAGTGCGCTGTATACTTACTCCAAGTGCTGTAGGTTATGCAGCCCTGGCAGGAGATCCCACAGCTTCGGAAGAACCAGAGGACCATTATCTGGACCAAGTCTACAGGGAACAGTGTCATCATTATCGTCACCAGCTTTACAGTGACAACCATAATAAATTCAGATATCAAACATCTGAGCTACTTACTCAAACTCCAGCTTGTGTAGCTCTTTAACTGCTGGCACTCCCTCAGACAGGATGGAGTGAGACTCGCTGGAGCTACAAGTGAATATAACACGTTTTCACAAACCAGTATGTTGCAGTGTAAATCTGAATGTGTGTGCATAAGTGTGTGGTGTATTACCTGTCTGATAGCCTCTTGTGAATGTGTATGTTCACCAGCTTTTCCAGGTGCTCTATATGACACACCTGTTTAGCTTTCAAAGGATGGATTGTGAACTTGGACACTGCCCTCTGGAGGAGACTTTCTTCGTCACTCTGCTCCAGCAGCTCCCAGAGGGTGATGGCGTCAGCAATGCATGACCTGGAGGACCCACAACACTGTGTTTAACACTGCTATTGGTGCTGGTAAAGATCAGCGACTATCAAGTCACAAAAAAGTTCCCAATACTATCCTTTAACCATTTAAATCCTGAGGATTGAGCCATAAAAACGTAAAGAAATACAAAAGATTACAAATTAGTTCTCTGGACAGGCTTAAACAGGATAAGTAAACTATGACTGGACAGCCACAGTTTGTGGGATAGTTGTAGCAGGGTAGGGTTTAGAGCTGTATATAAGCACTACCTGTATGTGTTGATGTTGTTGAGGCTAACCAGAGCTCGAAGTCCACAGATCTGGATGCCAGAGTCCTCCAGGTCCAAACAGAAACGTCTGCCTTCAGTTCCCCCCTGTTCAAGTGCTTTCTGAACAGTGAACACATCTGGCGGGCTTAGTTGAACTCCATGAAACGTCAGGAACTCTGGAAGATTTGCTGCTAGGTGTGTCACCAGCTGAGTCCTGCCAGCTTCTCGGCCACCATCACTGTGAGTAAAACTCGCCTCGTAGACGTAGTGGCATGCCTCCAAGATTTGGGAGGGAGTAAGGTCAGCGTAAGAAAGCCCTTCCAGGTGTTTTGTTACCAACCCCTGCTTGTTAGCCACCATATCTCTAAAGGCTGTCTCTGTATGCGTGTGGAATCGCTGCAGTTCTGTCCTATTGTGGAACAAGAGGCCAACTGCAAATCGCTGAGTGAGCTCAAGTTCCTCCCTTTGAGGTCGCCGACGACCTTTCCCTCCAGACTGGAAAGGGAGGGTCTGGAGAAAGGACCGGTCTGTTAAAGTCCTGGAGAAGGAGAAAGAGAAAATGTGTCATGGGAGATTGGGGGATTCTAAAAGTCTGAAAGTGAAAGAGAAAATAGACTGCAAGTGGAAAGGCTTTCATTTTTAATCTAACAGCATATAAACAGTGGATATTATGATATTTTAGCCCTACTGGCTTTTGATGAATCTGTAAACGGTTGATTTCTACCTTGACAAAGCCAGATGTACTCCTGCAATGTAACTCTGAAGGAAAGGGTTGGCCCATAAGAGGATCTGGTCATTTTGGTGATCAGTTAAATCATTGGTGGTCCTTTCACTGTTTTCAGTCCTCTGTTCTGTCTCTCCAGCTTCTGTCTCATTTTCTCCTTCCTCCTTGGTACTATTTGAGAGGCATGGACTCGCTCTCAGCTGATGAGAGAGAAAGAGGCCTGTTCTCAGACCAAATGCCTTGACTTTGCCAGATATGTCCCGTCCTGTGGGAAGGATGGAAGAGTTGGCTTTGACCCCTTCCCAGGCTAAAGAGCTCAGCTGGGACAACAAGTCAAAGTCCTCCGTTACAGCTTCTCCGCCACTGCTCCTGAGATCCTGATCCACTTTGTCTGCTTGCGCCTCCTGTTCTTGTGCCTTTTTTGCCCTTTGGGTGCGAGAGGAAGTGCGTGCCTGCGTTCTGGACTTCCCCTGATTATTTTTCGAACATTTCTTCGCCTGAGAGGTATTTGAAATTTGTGTCTCAGTGTCTCTTATGGATTGTGCTTGAGCTTCGGTGTGTGTGGGAGTACTCCTGCCGTCTTTATCCATTTTTAAACACAGCACCTGATGACAGAGCCCAGTTAAAGTTCTTGGCAGGACATCCACACTTCTAGACTGCTCTAAAATCAAGCACACCAGCCGGCATAGTCCGGGGTTCCAGCAAAGGAGATTTAGGTAGCTCATGCTTTTTAGACTCTCCAAAGCTGATTCTCTGAGGCCAGGATCAGAGAAGTACTGGGACAAATATGTTTCCACATTTGCTGGGGTAAACCCACACATCTCCAGAAGGCTGTCTGTACGCCTGAGCAGCTGGCTGGCAGTTCCCCGTGGCCGGGTGGAGAGTAGAAGAGTGCAGCCTGGAAGCAGGACCCTTTGAAGAATGGCAGAATACAACTGCCTTACTGTGAAAGTCTTTGCCTTGCTGTCTTTTTGCAGTGAAGCTGTTAGGTCTTTTTCCTGAGCTTGAAGTAGAGTTTCATAGTTGCGCAATTCATCAAAACCATCAAAAATGATGAGCACACGTTTAGGGGCTGCCAGGATTTGAGCATACACTGCTTCTGGGTCCACACAGGATGGGGCGGAGGAGGAGAGGTTGAGCAGGAGTGTCTGAAGACTGTAGACCGGCTCTGTCACACTGAGCTTTTTGCCATCCAATAGGAATACAAAGTCAAACTGAGGGATGCAGTTTCTGGACCAATCAATACACAGCTTCTTGATCAGAGTGGTTTTTCCCATGCCGGCATTGCCAAGCAGCAAAATGTAACGTCTGGATTTTTCTCCATTTGAACCATCAAAGATCTGAGTGGAAAACGATAAGCAGGCAATGAGTTTAACAAGGTTTTTTTTAAATTCTTTTGTGATATAATCTGTTCAGTAAAAGTGACGCTCCTACCTGACTGAGTGCCAGCATGGTTTTTTGCCGATCTGTGTCTCCCTTGATGACTAGCTCCTTGTCCAGGCATTTGTTTGTATTTTTCCCAGAGCGAACTACCTCTCTTTGGCTCACTTGAACATCTACATAATGAGAAGACAGGCTGAGGCCCGCCTCCATATCCTGGTAGGTTTGACTCATGTGAGCTTTGGCTTCTTGAATGTAGTCCTTGACATTCTCTAAAAAAGAAACAGGACTGAGTACCAAGCTGGTCCTCCACAAACCATTGTATATTCATGAGATCACTGTAGACAAAGTAAGAAGAGATCCTTAAAAGCCATGCGGCAACTTACGTGGAATATCAAGGACCTTGGGAGACTGAGGAAGAGGTGATTCCTTACATGGAGACATTTCTGAAGTGGAACAAAGCATGAAGTTTGTCACATGCCAGAAACTCATAACCACAAGGAGGAAGATTTGAGACAGATACAGATGCTCACCATTGCCTGGGGATACAGGTGAGGTACAAGGGGGAGACATGGCTTTGCTAGCTGTTTCTGACAGAGAACCCAGTGGGGACGAACTCATTTGGACCGGAGCGACTGTGCCATCGACTACAAAAAAAAAAAAAAAGAGTGAAATGACTGCATCGGCACACAAACAAAGCAGATGTTACAGAGAGCAGTTTCCATGTTGTCTCTTAAAAGGCAGAAGCAAAACCATAATGAGGAACAACAAATAGCACAACACCACCAGAGAAGACAAGAAGCAGAGAATAGCATGCACACATGAACACTCACACGCAACCATCCCAGATAAAAGATTTAACCTTTTTTTACTTACCTGGGGAGAGTGGTGGTAATTGGCATTTAGAGGGTGGTGACACAGTAGGAACTATATTAGAAACAACAGTTAGACAATGGACTACTTGTACAGGGTGTACACAATAATCAGTACACATTAAATAATTAAAGATGTCACTGACATGAATAACACAACCACCAGTGGACAGAAACAACAATGGCAAATCAATAATTCTGATTGAAAAGAACTTTTTTTGCATTGTAAATAGACATGATTGTGTTACAGGTGTGATTGCTAATCAAGGCTGTAGCTAAGCTACAGTTTTTCAGAAGAAGCTTTATGGTCAGATTGCCAAGGTAATTAAAACTGTACATCAACTCATTTTCTTTGCATAATGCTCAACACCCCTAGTCTGCAGTGTCAATAAAAACGTAACACCAGAAGAGTCACAAATGTCACTTTCTGCTGGGCTATGACATAGCAGTACACAGGAAACACTGTTAACTCTTGGCATGCCGGTATTTAACTCACCTAATATATATGTAGGTGTAGTGGCGCTGCGGGGGAGTGGAAACCTAATGAGCGGAGGAGGAGGAGAAAGCTGGACTGGATTTCCTGCGGAATCTGAGATAGTGATAAACTGAATGGGAATCGCAGAGCTTGTTTGGGAAGGGTAAACGCGAAAAATTCTTGGTGGAGTGGCGGTGGACATCGGTAAAGTCTTTGCTGGACTTGGCCCTGATGCGGGATGACTGCCTGCAAAACAACCAGAGCTGGCATCAGTTTCTGGGAATTGGTTTAGTCAGCCTTGAGAGTTATCAGAAAGGGAGTTGGAAAAATGACAACAATGGTTTGTTTTTCAAAAAACAGCGAAAGATTTACGGTCACAAACATCCTCATTGCAGAGCACTGTTGAACTTGTTACTCAAAGACAATCGCATTACGTATTTACTTTGAAACGTGATTACTTTGTGAAAAGGCATTGCACTATTTACCTCCTATTGAAAGTTATTTCTTACACTACTCTGCATTACTTCACCACTTCATCCCAGATGTACTGTCACACAATTTCCATCCAAGAATGAAATAATAAATCTTACATTCAATATCTCCAAAAATGATTAACTCAGTAAGGAGAGGATAGATTCGGTATTTGCTCTAAACCATCACTTTCTTTAACCTTCTAACCTTGAAAGGTTTCACTCTGCTCTGTCATTTCTCTTATCATCATGTTGGGTGATCATGCAAGTGCAAATGAAAAGGGAGATTAAGCCAAAGACAAATGGACCAAAGTAAAGTGCATTACTCTGCAAATACAGACATGTATACTTAAATTTGAGTCTCCTATTTCTATTTGTGGTGTAGTATTTCCTTCTAAGCTGAGCCATTAAATCTCTTCAGTGACCAGCAGCTGCTGATGTAAATGAAAATACATGCTCGGGTTTTTTTTTTATTTATCACATTGCGTGGTAAATCGGAACTATAAAAAGCACCAAACTCATGTGAAGCGAGGTGGGTAAGGTGCGAGTTCTTCTTCTAATTCATCGGCGTAAACTCATGACTTACAACTTCAAGTTCCTGTTTTTGTTTTTTTTTTAAAAACTAACTGGTTCATGCACATCGGTGGAGAACAATCACCCTGTGATCCAAAAGTCTAACCACTGAAATTTCATCTGAATTACCTTTTTTGTAAAAAGTCACTCTCACATGCTGAAAGTGGTTCTTTTTCATGCTAGCATTTTACCATGGAGCTATTCGAGGGATATTTGTAATATGATATGATATGATATGAATTGCAATATTTGACTTTAATAACCTATCTTGCAACCCTGGTAATCCTCTTTCAACTGCTATCCTGCAGAGTTTCACTTTTTCAGATCAACATCACTTACAGCGCTTCAAGTTTAAAGCTCCAGATGTTGCCTCAAAAACGGTTTCAGTTTTCATGACTCACCTGGCTCAACAGCTGGCTCAGCCTGTGACTCTTTGGTTTTTGGTTGACCTGCAGGAGTTGAAGAACCAACATTACAACATGACAGCAACAAAACATGCTCAGAACATCCTTTTATTTGTAAACATATCCTTTTCTTTTTGTACCAGATGGTAGTTCATTTTCATGTGATCTTCTATTAATAGTATTATTCCAGATTTGATTAGCAAAAAACCAAAAAACCCAAAGCATCTCTTAATATAGTGATATGAATGGAAACCAGTGGCTGAATTTTAAGCTCTGAGTGTTTGAACTTTTTCCACTAGTCTTAAACATACCAACGTAATTAGAAAAGTAAGAAAGTGCAGTGTCAAGTGCTATAAACACCACAGTATTATGACTACCATAAAAATGATAAATTGTCATTATAAGTTTAGTTATAGTAGGCTTAAGAATGTGTCTATTCCACTGGGTCCCAAATGTAATGTGGGTTGGAAACTCCATCGTTTGTTAAACAATCAGAGGAAGACTCTGGGTTAGTCACCTGATGGTTTTGGCTGTTTTGCTTTGGGCCTTTCATCCGAGCATGGCTGTGGCTGAGAATCTGGAGAGGGAAAAACATGCAAGCAGGACTTTAAACAATAAAGTGAAAATGACAAGTTAGAATCCTAAAATTAAGTTTTATATAACAAAAAGATGCTGGTAGGGTAGATGCTGTTCTTTGTGTAGTTACGAGCCAATCATTACCTCTTGGTCTTTTTCTCCTTCGTGATTGGCCTTTTGCTTTGGGTTCCTGTATCTGCTCAATGCTGTTGGCGATGGGTACCTCAGCTGCTGTGGGGAGGTCATCAAAGGTCCATGGATGAGTAACTAAAAAAGTCGATGTAGCATTTAGCAGATGCCCCTACTCGAACGTGTTGTCATTGTCATGGCATTTCATTACTGAATTAAAAATCAGTAGCTCTTCAAGGCATCATGTGACAGTTAGATAAACAGTAGGATTTGATTGACTTTTAAATTATGGCATTCTGTTTTTATTTACATTGACACAGCCTCCCAGTTTTGGGGGCAACCAGGATGTACATGGGCTGCTTTCATTTCTTTTGTGGATACTAAACAAAATGTAAAGACTGGACCAGAGTCCGGTCCATTGTCTGTGGGCTTAATCACATTTGATGATGTTGTGAGAGGTTTACATTTTATGGGCCGTGCATTTACAATATGCTGGGTGGAGATTTTTGTGTTTGTGTACTAAGATAACGACAAAGGTGTTTAAATGTATATTGTAGTAGATATTTATTTTAGGAAGACTGTGCAATCTAGTCACCATTGTTTATGTACAGGGGCAAATCTACTATGGTGGCATGAGGTGGCATGTGCCACCTTAAAAAAAACCTTTAGTGTCACCCTAGTTTATTCAAAAAAGCTAGCATTAACACTTTGAGCCTAGCTACAAGTAACACTGAATATGAGTATGTTGCATAATGTTACCTGATGCAAGACCTGCAAATGTGTAAAGAAATGGCTTTGATTTTTCTGATTTCCATGCCACCCTAAGAAAATGTTTCTAGATCCGCCTCTGTTTGTCTAGCCTGCTAGGTGGTTAGCACCATTAAGAAATGCTGGCAAACCACCTCACATATCCAGTAACCACTGCTTCTCTGCACAATGATCGATGTTAATGAAAATAGCTTTTTTAGTTGCATGAAAACACTGTTGCAACTAATGTAAAATTTTAATATTTACTTATTTAAAGTTTACTTAAGAAATTTTACTTTTACTTACTGATAAGTAAAAGCTATTACAGGTAATACTTGCATAAAACTTGCATACAAAAATCTATATAAATATAATTAATTGTGCTCCTTATATTGGATAACACTAAATTAATACATGAAAGGGTTTAGGTGACAATTATAAATAATCATAATTACAATTATAACGATCTATGACAGCCTGTGCACATGTTTTGTTGCTGCAAAAGTAATGTGGTCCCCTTCAAAGACCTTTGAAGAGATTCTGCTAAAAATCTTTAGGTTCATATTTAAAAGATAAAACAGTAACTTTGATGGTCAGTTACTCTTACAGAAAAAATAATCAACAAAAGAGACGCTTATCTTATTGCTAGATTTGTCTTATGCAATATTAAGCATTATGATGGATAATAAAGCCAAATGGGTCATGGCAACAAAGTGCCGGCCTTCAGATTCGAGCAGTAGCCTAACTCTGCTTTGTGATTGGGTCATCATTTAGATGTTTTTTTTCTTAAAGGTTAATTTATAACTACAGACTGAAATGACTGAATTACTTGTTGACGTCACTTAAGAAACTCTAAATTTCAATGAGCCCCTCATCCTGAACGTTCAGATGAGGAAGTGAACCTCCGACTGTGACACTGAAAAAACACAAACATTTCTTTACTACTGCGTTTGTTGTGTTTTGTCTTCCTTCCTCATTATTCGGGAAGGCCAAAACAACACTGGTGCATTTCTACAACTAGATTACCAGGTTGTGGTTGTAGGCCTCCACCACTCAGACCTATGTAATGTGTAAGATTCCTACACATTACATACACTGGAATTACCTAATTTAATGGTGGCAGTTTTAATGTTATGCCTTACTGTTGCTTATAGTTTAGATTATGGCTGTCCAATATAAGGCCCAGGTGGGCAGAATTGGCCTGGCAAAGACTCTGATCCGGCCCATCATGCATGACTTTGAAAATGTGAAGGGTGTCATAAATTTTGGACTTTTAATTGTATTTTGCTCAATTTTACAACTTTTGCTACATTCACGTTACACCAAAGTAATAGTAAAATAATTAAATGCCAGAAAAGAGCCATTGTTTTCACTATCCATTGTGGAAATGTAGCAGTTTTAGCTGAACGAGTCTTTGTGACAGATTTCCTTCATGAGACTCACCATGAAATTAATAAATTTACAGGAAAGATTCATGTTCTCTGTATCTGACTAAATAATGATTAGTAATGACACTGATACTTTGAACTTTTGTATTAAATGAATTAAGTCATGACTTATTAAGAATCATATTTGACATTTGTGTGAAACTTAGTCATAGCTTAAGATCATAATAATCATAACCTTTGAATATCAACTAATTTTACGCAGTTATTTTATGAGTCCAAGTGATTGTCTGTGACTGACATCAGAGATTCACTGCCATGTTCTTTGTTTTCTTCTCTTTTTCCTCATGTTTCTAGCTCTCCTCCCCTGTCTGTATCTACACTAGGATTTAGATACAAAATTAACAGTGAAGTGTTCGTTTTTTCTTTTTTTTAGGACATCAAATGAAGAACATGTTTAGCCTTATTATGTTATGTGGGCTCTGTTGAGCACTATGTGACAACAGGTACAAAGTAACAAAAGGAGGTTCTTACGGCTGTCGTTGAGTTCTAAGTAGTCAAAGAGGGAATCAACATCTGAAAAAGTGCACAGAGGTAATTATAATTAGATAATAAACTTCACATACATGTGAGATACGTAATAGAAAACTACTATGTGCGTTTTTACATATAGTACACTACACATGAGTAAACACATATAGATGTTTGGCTGCCACTTACCCAGCAATTTTTCATTTATATCATCATCCAAATTATCTGAAAAAATAACAATACCATCATCAGATAACAGAATTTCAGTTTCAAAATATAAAATATGTAAAGTTGATGAATTCATTATACAACACTGCCTCTTTTAAATATGTTAATTACTAATTACTCGTGGAATCGATTGGATATATTAGACAGTCAATATTCATTTATTGTTTATTATTTATTATTAGTCCTGTGTTACATGCTGTTTTTCAGTCTGTTTGTTTAAGCTTTTACTGTCCTGTGCTGCCTTCCTGACAGTAACAGCTGCTTCAGTGAAATATTCAATCATATTTTGGGGTGTTGGACCACCCCTATCTCAACTGTTAAGCTACCAGTGGTACTAGTATATTTTCCAAAGTGGATGGATTCATCAACTTCACTTCAACTGAACAGAAAGACAATGATCCCAAACACATGAAACCCAGTTCTGGAATGATAAAGCAGGCTAACTTTAAGTCTCTGCAATGATCCTCCCAAAGCCCCCGACCTCAACCCTACTGAAAGTGTTTGGGCTACTAAATAAAATTCACCAATTCTTCCAAGAATTACTGTCAGAAATCTAGCAAGAATTAGCAAGAACTGCCAAAAGCTTTTGGTAGCGTTTTAATGGTTGAGGTGCACCTTCCTAAAAGACATTTAGCTGTTTAATAGTGGTGGAGTATGCATGTATTTGAGCCTGTATGTGAACTTTTGACCCCGTGTGGATTTGAGGAAAACAAAGATAATTTCAAACTTGTGCACCTAATTCTTGTTTTTATAATTATTAAAGTTGCATGCAGCACAATCGTGTAGAGCACAAGTGTATATAAACTGTTTAAGATTAAACTTCATTTCATTCAATAGTTGGTGTTAAAAATGTCTGCTCACAGATAGAAAAATAGAAAGAAAGGAGTGATAATAACCATCTGTTTCTTCTATTTAGAAGTGTTTGTTTGCGTTTTCACTGCCTCAACACATAATTCACCTTTTTATTATCAATGCAGAAAAACAAAGTAGTGACAATGCAAACCTATCAACAGATCCGCCAAGTCCAAAGGGACTGCGATGGGATTGGGATCCACTTCCAGCATCTTGACATCTGGTGACACGCATAGGAAAGAAATAAAATATCCTGATTGGTTATTATTATATTTGTAGGTTAGAGTGGAGTTGAGGATAAGCTGAATAAATGTTGGTAGTTAAAGATCGAGTACAGGGGGATGCTTTTGTCAAAGCTGCAATTCCCGCAAGCTATTCCTAACATAATGCCATCACAATAATAATGGGTTGGACAGAGACACCCTAAAAACACAATGCCTGTTGTAATAATAGTAATGTGAGAAAACAACAGAGGATTTACTGAAAGAGAAGAAAGTAGGAAAGCAGGAGAAGTAAATCAATTTCCTGTCAGTACACGATACACTACAGTATCCGGCCACAGTCTGGAAAACCATTAACACCTTGACTTTATCACTGTATGGTTAACTGTTCAAACTGTGTTTACAAATATGCACTTTGACTCTGGGGGGGTAAAAAAAACGCCTGTGCTGGAATTTTACTTGTGCAGGAAGCTCAGGTAAACCTGTTTGCAGAGATGACTACTGCGATCTTTTACAGCCTAAAGACACCTTTAGGATAACCACGATGTGGACAGTAGAAAAAACCCAACAACACCAGAAAAACCAAAAAGCAACTTTTTGCCCTGATGAATCATTACTTGTACAATAAAACACTACACTGACTAATTCTACAAATCACCCAAATTGCAGGAAGGCAGTTAAAAAAGACAAAAAGGATTTCATGCAAAAAAACCCCACTCCAGTTGTTTTAAAGGAGATCATGCACATAAAGTTGCCCTTGAGCAGTGTGGTTGTCTAGCAGTCTATAACCAGTGCCCATGTGTGGTGCCATTTGAGCAGGTAACCAGGTAGTTCACAACACACACACACACACACCTTGTTTATTAGACCAGAAACAGAGGACTACAGTCGACTATGGACTTTCGACTCACATCCTTGTTTAAAATCTGTCATTGTTTTTCTGAGAACCACTAAAAATAAAGCAGTATATATGTGCCCATTACCTCCCTGAACAAACAAACAAACAAATAACAGTGCAACCAGTTGAGTTACTGATCGCACACAAAATATGTCTCTAATGAGGAACTCGGGAACCTGAAGCACACAAAGCACCATGCTGTCTGCACAACTAGAAGAGCAAGACCTTAAAAACTAACAGTGAAAAATAAATATTAAAAAGAAAAGAAAAGAAAAGAAAGAAATTTTTTGTTTAGTCCTGAGTCGGAGTGCGTGAAATTCTTTGTCCCTGCGCAGTCCCACACTAAATGGCTGCCAACTATTACCAAAATATTTTAAAAGTTACATTGAAAGTGATTTTCAACAGCTAATGTACTTCAGTTGCCCGGAATTCCCCGCAAATCCCCAACTGGACTTATTTTCACTTACGACAACGTCTGATCTGTTATTTTTGTGCACTCTTCACGTGTGGGGGTCTATGATGGTGGGTGCGACTCCATCTGGTCACACAAAAGCATAATGGAGTTGATTCTTCTTGTCATGGCTGAAACTTTCAAAGCCAAACGCAGAAAATCAATGCAGGTGCTGAAGCAGCCGCTCAATTAAAACTTTAACCTAAATTTTCTTAAAAATGACTAAAGTGGCCCCTGTAAATTAAAGAAAAAAAAAGTGTGGAAAATCCCCGACAAATCTTATTATTCTTTTCCTGCGCACTTTCATGAATGCGCAAACCCAGACCCACCGGAGCTCACCATGGCTGATATTCCTACCTGTCGGGTCTCTCTGGGTGATGCTCAGGTCCTGTAAACGCCCTGATGTGATGTATAGTCTGTGTGTCTCATATAAGTTCCATCAGCCGCTGCATATATCCTCAGATGACCTATACACTGAGAGTGCGCAACCTGCTGTGGCTCACAATGCTTTTGCTTTCACTTTGCCTAACATGCCTTACCAAACGCACCAAACCGTTAAAGGGCGGTTCTGTGTGCAGAGTGCACCCTGCAACTGTTTTAGGTCTGTTTTAACAACAACGGAAGAAGCAAAGAAAACGTTCAAGAGGCGCGCCACGAGGGACCGGTTTATGATGAGGAACAACGGTGATGTAAAGCAAACAGGTCACCGTGCGTTACAGTCGCCACAACATCCTCAAATATCCCTTTGTTTTTGTTTTTCCCCTGGCAACATGAGCGTCAAAAGGGGGCTCAACTATTTTGCAGGCTACTTAGCTTCATGTAGCCTGCATGACATGTTTTGATGGACTTTTAATTAACCTCCTAGGACCTGGCATCCACATATGTGGACATCACATTTTAGGTTGTCTAGACCAAAATACTACATTTTGTTTTACAAGGGCCTGATATCTAATTACGAGGACATTATACTGCCACTGTTCTATCGAAATTTAAAGCCAATGTCCTCATATGTGGATGTCATTTTTCTCAGAAACAAAAATCAAGTAAGTTTTTTTTAAATTACGTAATTATTTGTTTTTACATTCATCAGGTCCCAATCAGCCCAAATAGCAAAGAGAAATTAAAAATGCATGCAATGAAAGAGTTTGGGTCTTAGGAGGTTAAAGCTTGTTGTTTTAGTTAGGTGAACTATATTCTCCCTCATTCCTGCATTGGAAGTCTTTAGATTTTAAGATATAACTGCACTTCACCTCAAATCTAAAGCTTGATTTTGGACGGGACAACAGGCATCAGTAGCTCCAAAATGGATCACATTTTGCTTTAATCTCTTACTGTTTAATTTTCTTATTAATATTATCATCATTAATAGTCATCCCTTTTCTACATTCTACAACTATGACATTGTTTTCTATCCATTGCTAACAGTATGCTAAATACTGTATGTTCATAGTTTGCCTTTTGGGGATCACAGTGAGGTGTTGTTCAGTTTCTGCTCTGTGACTACCTTAAGACAACCGAAAAACAGCATCAGCGTTCACTGCCAGGCCTTTGGAATTGACAAGGAAACATGGGTAGTTTTCAACAGTGGAGTGGAAAGTACCTGCTCCACCTCCACCTCGCCGAAGCCAGGCAGATAAACCAAATAGATTGTGCCTTGTTGCCAGACACGTTTACATCACGCTCATACCATTCATATCAAGCTTGATCCACACAGTTACATAATAGAGGGAAGGCATTTTAAAAAACAATGCGTTCGTTTTACAGAAAGTAATGTGTCTGTAATTAATGTCGCACTGGCCTACATTTATTTCCTTGAGACTTATCATCACACTAAGTTAACCAACTTGATTTTTTGTGTTTGATGCTTTCGGAGAGATTTCTGTTTCACACAGGATGAGTAATATAAACACACACAACACATTTGAGGTTAAGAAATATGTGGGTAAAGACAAAACGAGGGGGTGGAGGAATTAAAGTTGGGCCTCTGTGTAATTCGGTGGGTTAAGCAGGTATGCCAAAAGGCTATTCCAGTAGGCAAGGATCCAATGTGGAGCATGCCACTCCCTTTGCTCTTTGTCCCCCCTTTCTTATCATAAAGAATTGTAAATGCCAAAAAATGCCAAGAAGACACTCAGGTACATCCTTTTCTTTTCATTGCAGATTTGTGTGGTGTGGTAGACAAAAACTTGATCTTTTTATTCATTTTAAAGCTGCAGCAGTAACAGAACTAAGCAATGACGTCTACCTTTTAACAGGGCAAAGTTATAACACAGAAACCTGAAGCTGAAACTAAAGCTCCACCCTTGTAACTGACTCAAGGTGGTAACCTCTACCAGGCTAAACATTATCAGAAAGCGTTCTTTGCCAAACTGTGTGCAAACCAAAAGTAGGTTACCACAGCAAAGCTGAACATGGCCGGTTACTAGTCTGACCGGCTTCACCTTCTTAACAAATCTAAAGAATAACCTTTTTGTGTCGTCTATTTGTCAGGCCCACGTGAAAAAGTATTCACGCCTTCATAATGTCTTAGCTTTTTGTTGCATACGAATATGACAAAGATAACTCAAATGAATTTTTAAATGATGATTTAAACGATTAAGGGTAAAAACGTATCGGCCGTGGTCGAATTCTTTCTCCAAGTCCATTCCACCACTCTTCGAGAAGGTAAGGCTTTTGTGGCAGTTCTTTAGATGTTGCTCTGGACCTCCGGATCTCCCGGATGAGTCGTTGGTGCCCTCTTGGAGTAAGAGCATTTGGTAGGTTGTCTGTTTCTGTGAAGGTTCACTACTGTTCCACGTTTTCTCCATTTGCGGACAATGTCTCTCACTGTGGTTCAGTGGAGTCCCAAAGCCTTAGAAATGTCTTTGTCTCTCCAGGCTGACAAACCATTTCTTCAGATTGTGACATGATGTGTTGCTTTTTGAGATGCTTTAGCCTCCTTCGGTTTATTGGACAGGTTCTATATAAGTAGAGTCTTGATTCAACAGGCCTGGCAGTAACCAGTGAAATTGAAACTAAACCTTGGGGATTATGGGGATACTTTTTCACACGGGCCTCAAAACGTTTGGATAACTTCTATTTCTTAGGAAATGATCATCATTTAAAAACAGCATTTTGGTCATCTTAATTATCACATTTGTTTCACAATCTGAAACATTTAAGTGGCTTAAATATGCAAAAAGAAATCAAAAGGGGGGCAACAACTTTTCACAGCACTATGCTTTCTTGACAATGGCATATTTACACCTAGAAGTCATAAATTTGCAGCTGTTGTCAGAGAGTGAGTAACCAGCTCGGGGGACCTTGGAAATAAAAAAGATGTGTTTGGAAGCTCGCCACATCCTATTTTTAACTGGATCCAAAATCAGAATGTCAAAATGAAACTGAAAGTGAACCACACCTTAACCACCAACTCATGTCCTGGCAGGAATAAAGCCTGGAGCAGGCTTTCTGTTTCCAAATAGACCAAACTGAAAACACCAGAGGATAAATATTTGTCCCTGCCCTGTGCTGATGCCTGAATGAAAGCAGCTTTTGTTCCTGTAATCCTGGGCATTTCATATAAATGATAAATTATAGAAGGAAAAAGAAGGAAAACCAGTGAAAGTTAGAAGCATCTGAACAGAAGCTTAAATGAAACTTACCACAGTGTGACTCCATAGTGTCCTTTATGCCTGTTATTCCATCTATGTCCCAGATTGCTGTTCCATAAACATTTCCGGTGACCCCTGCCATCATGTCATCTTCCGCTGTAACTGAAGCATCTTGTGGTGCAAACGAGGGACTCAAATGTTGAAAGGTAAATTGTGCAAGTGCCGAACCTGCGCCACACTGTGTGTCCTCAGGCAGACAACACAGGTCGTCTGCAGTTTCACCTGGCCACCACGCATCCAGGAGGCCCCCCATATTGTCTGTGACGTTGTTGTTTGAGTCTGTGGCTTCACAGGCTTCCACAGGTGATGCATTTCCTCCTTCTTCGAAAGTTTTAAAGCGATCAATGCAGATTCCAGGTGTCGCCAACTCATCATATAAAGGGTAATAGAACTCCTCAGGTGTGTCCTCAGCATCCAGCGTGAAGCTTTCGTTAAAGTTGCCAGTGCACGCATCGAGTGTCCTGCAAGCGGCTGCAAGCTCCATTTCCTCTTCCAGATCTAAAATAGCACATTGTGCTTCGCTGTATGTCACTGTGTTATCACTAGTTGTACATCCAGTTGTGTTATAATAAACTAAAGGCTGTAACATCCTCCTTCCTTTGTCCCAGTGCTGCCACAGAGGTACAGCTATCCGCCTAGCAGCCTCTTCAATCTGCTCTAACCACTCCCCCTCAATCTCCAAATTCCCCTGATTTACCCTTTCACTATCACTTACCAGCTTCTGCATTGAAGGTGCACTTGTCAGCAGTTCAGTTATTTCATCATTTAATGAAAGTCTGCCATCAAACACTGTGGGGACAGAGTAGAGCCTTTGTGTGGGGTAGTGTTCGTCCATTGCTGTCCCCTCCCTCAATTCCTGAATGAGTTTATCTCTGGAAATAACTTGATCCTCATATAGTGAGCAAGTCTCTGGCTCCAGTCTTGTGCTGTAATGATCATCCACTGATGGGACAAACTCTGATCCTGCCAGGTGGTAGTCAACGGAGGGAGACTGTGACCCACCTTTCCCTACCTTAATGAGCGGTCCATGGCTGAGATGCTGGTGGGTGCTAGATGCTCGAGAAGCAAATTCCCCATCGGTCTCATCAGATCCCGGTATAAACCCTGATTCCCCGCAAAGCAGCTCCTGCGCAAGCCCGTCAATGAATCGATGCAGACCCAAGCTCTTGCTGTACGCATCTGAGATTATCTGCTCCTCCACCAGACCCTCCAGCAGAGCTCGGATCTCAGCAGGTGAAGCCCAGGTCAGAGCCGAGCGGACTTCGTCCAGGACCTCCTCAAAATGAGCCATGACAAGAGTGTCGGCTCCCTGGGCATGGAGGAGTAACAATAGAAGCAGCGTATTGGAGTTATTTGAGTTTGTTCTTTATTTTTAAAGGGACTCTGTGATTTTATCCGGGAGGCGGTCGCATGAATGGTAGGAGGTGTTATTTCCCAAAGCCAGAAATGTTATTATTGGTATCATAAGGAAGTGAAGTTACACAAGAAAAGGAGTCTGATCGAAGACATTATGGCAGTCTCAAACTTTCATCATCACACATTTTGTCTTTAAACAAATTTACCCGTCTTTTTTTTTTTTTAACAGCTGGTTTAATATTTTGCCCAAATTCGATTACATGGCTGTCATTTTTCTGCTTTTTCATGTTAAGAAAGAGGCAGTGCCACACTGCACACTTTCTTCTGCACAAGTGGGCTGTTTTTCAGCTCAATCACACGCAATAGATTTTATTAAACTATTTAGTTATGATTTGGGGACTTAATCACCAAATAATCACCAAGGCTGCACATTTACCTATTTGTCCCCTTAAGCTCATAAACAGAACAAACACAAAATTCACACAGAACCCCCCCCCCACATAAATGTAAAGCCTTCTCTGCGGGTCACATTGTGAATGTGAAGGTGCAGTCCTTGTGTTAACCGATACAATGTTATGCACCATACTGTGAAGTTTTTAGGCAGGGACTAAAACCGGTTTGGCAAAACTACGCATGCCTCAGTGCCATGTTTAGCATTGCTCATTTGCTTAGTAGAAATTGAGCTGCACCTTCTTTGTGTACCTGAGGAGCCAGTTTGTTGTCGTTTTAAGTAATTGGGAGTCAAATGCTCTTATTGTTTATTGGTGATAATGATTTATTTTCAAATAATGGAAGAAAAAGCAGTTTTACCAGCTTTGTCTCACCTTTCCAACCATTTCCTGGAGTGTTTTATAATGAGTAAATCTAACTTTACTCACAAGCTAAAGGTGAAGCTTTACAGGTATGCTTTACAATAAAGATATTACTCTTTTATGTATCATAACTGTGGGAAAGACATTAGCTATAAGAGTGTGGTTATGATTGTTTTGTCTGCTTGCAGGATGCAGATACAGTTTCACATGTATTTTCTGCTTAGCATTGGAGGAACTACAAGTGTGGAGAGTGTAGTGCACATAAGGACACAAACACACACAGACTGCGAAACAAAAATTTCCAACCAGACTGGTCAGTACACACCTGGCAAACCTGATGCCACACCACTGATACTAAAACAATTCAAAGAGCCAAAAAAAACAAAGAAATAATTTGAATACTACAACGCAAATGAAGCGTGTTTAATGAATGGATGCCGTTTTCATTTGGTCATCGGTCACATCAATAATTAGACATGAAGATTTTAACACAATTATGAAAACACCAAATACATCCAGTGGTTCAAAATTTGTAAAATGACCACATATTTATGACAGCTGAGAATGTGAAAAATCACCTAACCCTAAATGTAACTTTTGATCTCTGATGCTCGGTTTGAATTGCAAAAGTTTAACTTTGAACATTTTTCAATAAAAAAAAAAAAACCCAACTTATTTTCCTGGAGTTCGATGCCAGCGTTGCCACACAGGTATGAAAATGTATGTACAATTTAAAAATAATTCCAGAAATCTGCAAGTGTACTTCTTTAAAAAGTAAAAAACTGTTTGGTTTAGCTGTTCTGTACCTTTAAGCAGCCCCTGCACCGTCATCTGTAAATTAGTAATGCACCATATTGTTAAAATTGCACTCTCTCTTCAGAAATGCAAGAAAATGATTTGAAATCAGCATATTAAAAAAATAACAACGATGTGCTTTACTACTTTTTTTTCCAGCTTTTAATTTGTTTTCAGCAAATTCGGGTATAATTTCAATTATGTTTTCAGAACCTACCTGTACTTCTTTATACTTCAAAAACAGGAAGTATTTGGAGGGGATAATATAAACAATCTGCTCATTTGAAATGCAGAAGCACCGATATTAATGACGAACTAAAATCCAAGTTACTTTTTTTTCTTTGTTGGCAGCTTTATCTGCACTTTGATCACAGTAACCTGATGCCATAAAGAGTTTAAACACAACAAAAAAAAACAAAACAAATTGCTGACCTCCTCTTAACACAAACATTACCACACCAGCTCAGGCACTGTGGAATATTCTTATATTCCTTTTCATCTACTGAGGGGATTGACATAATGTACACAAAAGCACCTGAAGCAAATGACTCACTCTAAGCAAATACAAGCTTAATGAAGCTGTAGGAAAAAAATGGATCCTACAAACGGTATTGTCAGTACAGGCAAAGAGTTTTCTGCTGCATATTTTTCCTTTTTGCCACTGAGCTTCATTCATTGCACCAAAACTGATAAAAAACCCATGCAAACGCCAAAAATTGACATCTTGCATGGCCGGGCCTTTACTACCATTAACAGTTTTACTACCGTTCGTCTAACCTGCAGCTGGCAAACAGCCCACGACAAATGTGCTGGTAGTTAAAACTACAGTGCTCAAAGTGATATTGCTTTCCTTCAAAACAAACAAAGAAACACACATTTGTAAATCATTGTAAACCCTGACAGCCTCATAAAGATCATTCCATAATGAGTGCATTCATATTCAAAACGGGCACAGGTGCTTATTTGGATGATGACTTTATTTGTTTTATGAAATGGGAAGTAATTTCAGTTTCTACAGACTCTTATTATGTATTCATTTCATTTACTCTCAGTAGTTCTTCAGGAAATACTGCTCTGGCACGGCAGCATCTGATCAATGCATGAAATCTATCACTGAAAACAAAGAATGATAAGATTTCTCTGACTGTCAAACAGAAATGCTGCGATTCTGATATGTACGAGCTCTTGTGCTCTTCGTGTGCCTCGTATTCGGTGCCCGTCTGCCGTCATGTGATCAGCCACGGTGTTCTGCTCCTGTATGGATGCCATCTGATGTGGTCAGATTGTGCTTTGCTCCTCTGTTACCCTGTTGGAGCAGTAATCCTGGATGGCTTTGGGGGGGAAGAGAAAGAGGAGAGAAGAGAATGATGATGATAAAGGAGATTTGATGAAGCTGATAAATAAATGTGCGTCAACTGATGGTTTCAGTTAGGAGTGAATCAGCTGCTACGCAAACCACATTAGACTCCACAAACTTGATCTCATGCTTTAAGCATAATTGAATTTCGATACAACTCCTACTGTTCCTCTTTTGATTGGCTGCTTCCCATTTATACAGCGACCGCTTCCTCTTTCATTGTTTAATCAGGAATTGAGCCGTCAGCTAAATGATCCAGTCATCAAAACCGGCGGGGGTCTTCACTGGAAGGAGGAATATGCCTGACAGCGCATCTAACTTCCTTCTTAAGAAAAATGAAAAACTATGACGTATGAGGTGCCAAAGGGTTTGTTTATGATGTGCAAATAAAGGGGTGGGAGTCATAAAATGCAGAACTCTATACTTGGCACATCTCCTGGATCCCTGCTCTGACTATCTGACCACTGTGTGCATTTACAGCTGAGAGAAAACAACATGACAGCTCTACAGTAACATCCTGAGCGGTGGGGATAGTGTTGACATTGCTGCAAGTGAGCTGAGATGATTTCTTTTTGGTTCTTGTTGTTTTGGCAACAGTTTCACACCATCTTCCCATTCACCAGTTTTGGCATCCTGTGACTTCGCCCACTTCTCAAAACCTCTATTCTATTTGCAGGATTGCCAGCTGATGGTCAGAAGGGGATTTCCAGGCAAGTCCAGCTGACCTTGACGGCTACACTTAAGTCACACAAGATTTGTTTTGGCCTTTTATGGTTACTGATTGTACGATGCTCATTTGTGTGGGTGTCTTTCTAAAAACAAACTCACTTTTCACAATTTTCTGGTAGGCTTCCGCAGCGGGGGAGTCGGGCACCTCGCTCAGGAAAGACCTGCCCTCGTCACAGCTCCGTGCTATCCTGGGATCTAGAGGCACCTTTCCTAAGAGGGGTAGTTTGAGGTCTGCACACATTTTCTCAGCTCCCCCGGTTGAGGGAGGGAAGATCTGTGACGTATTCTACAAGGAAGAGTTTAAAGAAAAAAATATGCCTATATCAGCTAGGTACTTTCTTAATCTACACACGAGGAATTTGGGATTGATTAACTGTGTAAACACGACATTTTTCCACTGGGAATTCTAGCTCGAAGCTCAGGCCGTAACCCGGAAAACTAAAACACGCTGCACAGAGAGAGATCAGATTTAAAAGAGTTGCTTAAATGGCATCTCCCACTCACCCACATTTTCTTTAAAGTGTGGTGATTTCACTGTTTAGTGATAGGAAAGGACGTTGTGGTCCTGTTATATCATCTCCCCTCCCAAAAATAAAATGTCAGATGTTGAATAGAAAGGAAACGGCATAAGGCCCTCCCTTAAAGGGATGTAAGAGCCTCAGGAAATTACATCTAAAAGGAAAAAACACAAGACATAAAAATGTAGAGAAACAGAACTTTGTTGATTTGATTTTGTGCAAGGTGAGCTTGCTTGTGGTTGTGAAAATGAGTGCACTGTATCCTGTTCAGTGTATCTGCAGTATATCTGCACAGGATAGCAGACGAAGCCTCCTCACAACCTGGTTTTTTTTGTAATGAGCTAAAATAGCACAGATGTGAGCACATATTTCAGACCTCTTTGCTTCGTTCCTCTTTTCTGTGTGCTCCACTTCTTTACTTACCAGAACTAATCAAGCGTATGCTCGCAGTGCTTGTATACATTTCTCACCAGATTAGATCAGATTTGTAAATTTTTGTCTTGTTTTTGCTCAATTATCTTATCCAAAAAAACAAAACAAAAGACAAAAAAGATGTAAAATGAACAGAGACATGGATCTGGTGCATTTTTAGCTTATCTGTGTTTTGCACAGGTGCGTGTGTGAGAGTGACCTTGCATTTAGGGCAGACAAAGCCGCTCATGTTCTCCACCACCCCGATGATCGGCATCTTAACCTTCTGACAGAATCGGATCTCCTTTCGCACGTCCTGCAACGATACCTCCTAGACAGACGTGG